AGCAGCATCATCATCAGCATCAGTTTCATAAGAGTCAGTAGCATCATCCTCAGCAGCAGCGTCATCATAACCATCAGCACCAGCAACATCATCATCATCATCAGCATCATCAGCATCATCAGCCGCGTTACCATCATCACCATCCTCATCTTCATCCTCATCCTCATCCTCATCCTCATCCTCTTCATCATCCTCATCATCATCATCATCCTCATCATCATCATCATCATCATCATCATCATCATCATCATCATCGTCATCAACATGATCCTCCTCCGCCTCCTCCGTCTCGTCCTGTCTCCGCCCCTGTCCCCGTCCTAATCCTCCCATCTCCTTTAAGCGCGTCCCTCCTCGTAGGCCCTCCAGCCGCCGTCATAATCTCCGTCGTCCCCATGGCACCAGCATCGTCAGTATCGCCATCACCATCACCAAACGCAGCAGCATCATCATCACCAGCATCAGCATCATCACCATCACCAGCATCATCAGCAGCATCAGCATCATCAGCATCATCATCATATTCGCCAGCATCGTCATCATCATCATCATCATCAGCATCAGCATCAGCGTCAGCATCATCATCAGCGTCATCATCATCATTAACATCAGCATCCTCGGCAGCATCAGCATCATCAGCATTAGCACCAGCATCATCAGCATCACCGTCAGCATCATCGTCGTCATCGTCAACGTTATCAGCATCATTAGCATCATCATTCTCATCGACAGCATCATCATCCTAAGCAGCATCACCATCGTCGTCAGCATCATCACCATCAGCAGCATCAGCATCATCAGCATCGTCATCATCAGCATCATCAGTCTCATCATAATCAGCATCGCCAGTATCATCAGCATCACCATCAACAACAGCAGCAGCAGCATCAGTATCATCACTAGCCGCATCAGCATCATTTGCAGCAGTAACATCATCATACTCTGCAGCATGTACATCATCATCATCATCATCATCATCATCATCATCATCATCATCAGCATCAGCATCAGCATCATCATCATCATCATCATCGTCATCGTCATCATCATCCTCATCATCATCATCAGCAGCATCACCATCGTCATCAACGTCATCGTCAGCATCATCCGCATCATCTGCATCACCATCATCGTCGTAACCAGTATCAGAGTCAACACCATGATCATAATCATCATCACCATCATCAGCATCATCAGCATCATCATCTGTACCCGCATGGGTAGCAACGACAGTTGCATCATCGACAGCAGCATCAGCAGCAGCATCAGCAGCAGCATCCTCAGCATCATCAGCATCATCAGCACCATCAGCATCGTCGCCATCACTATCATAACCCTTCGGTTCATCAGCATCCTCATCACTCTCATCATCATCGTCATCATATGTATCATCATCACCAGTAAAATCACAACCACCACCATCATCATCATCAGCAGTATCATCATCATCAGCATCATCAGCATCATCAGCATTATCGTCAGCATCAGCATCGTCAGGATCGTCATCCTCATCTGCATAATCATCATCATCAGAAGCAGCATCACCAACATCATGATCAACATCTCATCTTTGCCGTCGTCGCCGCCGCCCTCGTTACCATCATCCCCCGTGAGTCATCGGCTCTCCTCCCCCAACATCGTCATTCCCAGAAGCGCAGGGATTGTTACCAGCGTCGGCATCATAATCGTCAGCACCATCACCACCATGATCTTCATCATCTGCATCACCATAATCATCGCCGCCATCACATCTAACGTCACCACCACCGACGCCAGTGCCCCTCCACCTACTCCTCCACTTCCTCGTCACCAGCATGACCAGCCCCGCCATACACTTCCCTATCGTGCGGCTCCTCAAAATCACTTGCATGACCATTCCACTCAGTATCACAATCCCCCGCAACATCCTCCTCCACATCATCAGTGTGGTTACCACCATCATCACATCAACCACCATCATCATTGGCGTACGCACCATTGGCATACGCACCATCGTGACCGTCCTGATGAGCCCCGCCATGCTACGAACAACCACTATACACAGCAACTGCAACGTTGACAATCTCAACATCACCACCTATCCGAATTACGACACCCATACACCCATCGTAATGATACTCGACATTGAAGGGCCACGACCGATCCAAGCACACTGCGACACCCCGAGTCGAGAAGGCTATGAAGATGTATTAAGGCGAGTTTGCATTTAGGGTTGCGATGCGTATATTGTGTGGGCGTGCAGTTAGGTTAGTTTGTGTTGGTGTGCATGAGTTGGTTCGTGTTGTCTCTCAGTTGGGTGCGTATGGCTATACTCACGGCGTACTATTCTGGATTGTCGGGCCTTCGTCGTAAAGCAACCATGCCCTTCAAGCACGGGCAGTGGCGAGTCCGTCCGATCGAACACCCTCGAGCTCAGACCAGCACAATCGCGCAACGGGTGCCCGACGCCGCCGCTCGCCCCCCCCCCCCTCGGCCATCAGGCTTGCCCCCCCCTCCCCCCCGCAGGAGATGCCCTGCAGTAGCCACAGCACAGGCATGCACGACCAGAACCCTTGCCACAAGGACACCGGGGTGCACTCAGAGCGTGAATTACCTACCTCGCTTTCGCTTCCAGGCAAAACCAAGTCATACCACGCGCCTCCTCGTCAAGCGGCCTGACCAGTACAGGCCGCAGTTTGGCATTGTTTGGTATCTCTTGGAAGCGAGGGTGGTCAAAAGCGAGGTAGGTTTGTTTTCCCCCGATGCACGGTCGACGTCTGCGCTCCCCACCTCCCGAGGTGCCCCTGGCGGCGCGGGTGCGTGTCCCCCGGGGCTCCCTCCGTCTGCCCCTCCGTCGGCCGCGCCCTCCCCCCCGCTCCTCCTCGCGCACGGTGGCGCGACTCGCTCCAACGGCATCCCCGTGGAGGCATCCATCGAGGGCGCAGACGTCCCCTGCCTGGCCGCCGACGCAGGAAGTGTCTCCAGGCTCCCGGGGGACGCGAAACTTCCTCGGGGCACGTGCTGGCAGGCTGCCCCCTCCCGCCTGCCGAATCCCTGAACCGCGGGCCACGAAGGCGTCCGCTGTGCAGGGAGCGGATGGGCTGGAGGACAGGCGCAAAACCCCTCGGCCAGGGGTGCCCTCACGCCAAGATCGCGTTCAGGTACGCCCGCTGCCCTGCCTCCCCCCAAGCTTTCCTCCTGCGCTTTAGCGCGGCTCCAAGGGGGAGCGAATCCAGATGCTGAGGATGGATCCCCCCCCGCTTCCCCTTCCTTCCCCCCCCCGCCGCGTCCCTTGCCATCTTGGCCGAAGGCTCCGCAGACGCACAACCTCAAACAGCGTGATGGAGGCATATGGATGCGGGCGAGGAGTGGTGACAAGTGGAGAGGAGTAAGACTGCATCATCACGTCACTGCTCGCATCTGCGAGCAAGGTCTGCTACTTGGCCCTGCGACTGATCCGCACGACGAGCCTTTCCTCTTGCGCCCTTGACGACATTCTGCCCGTCTTGTTCGTGAACCTGGGGCGGCAGAAACACCTATGCGATTGGCCCTCCATCTCCGGGTCTGCGACGCAGGACATTACCATTGTCTTCTCATTCTGGTGCCAGCACCAGCACCAGCATCAGGATACGCATCAGCATCAGCATCACCACAGTCCACATCTTCACCGTCGACATCATCGGCAGCAGCGCCATCGTGCTGCTCTTACTCCTTCTTCTTCTTCTTCTCCTCCTCCTCCTCCTCCTCCTCCTCCTCCTCCTCCTCCTCCTCATCATCATCATCATCATCATCATCATCATCATCATCATCATCATCATCATCATCACCGTCCTCCTCGTCCTCCCATCCACCACCACCCTCTTCATCCTCATCCACCTCCTCCTCCTCCTCCTCCTCCCCTTACTCCTTCTCCTCCTCCTCCTCCTCCTCCTCCTCGTCCTCCTCCTCCTCGTCCTCCTCTCCCTCATCTCTCCCTCATCCTCCTCATCCGCATCCTCATGATCATCAGCATCAGCATCAGCATCAGCATCAGCATCATCAGCATCATCATCATCAGCATCATCGTCATCAACATCCTCATCATCATCAGCAGCATCAGCATCAACATCATCATCATCACCACCATGGACGTCATAATCATCCTCTACATCCGCATCATCAGCATCGTCATCAACATCATCAACATCATCAGCATCATCATCAGCATCATCATCAGCAGCAGCATCAACATCCTAAGCAGCATCATCATCAGCAGCATCATCCTCAGCAGCATCGTCATCATCGTCATAAGCAGCATTATCGAAACCAGCATCAACACCACCGACGTCGTCATCGGCATCGGCAGCAGCATCAGCATCACCATCATCCCTCAACAACAAAATCGCCGTCGTCGATAGCGTTGCCATCATCATCATCATCATCAACATCATCAGCAACATTGTCACCGGCATCATCATAATCATCAGCATCATCATCATCAGCAGCAGCAGCATCGGCATCATCATCCTCATCGACGTCATCAGCATCATCAGAATCATCAGCAGCAGCATCATGATCATTATCATCATCATAGTCGTCGTCGACATCACCATCATCGGCATCAGCATCATCACCAACGTCATACTCAACATGAACAACATCCGCACTACCATCGTCATCACCATTGGATCATCATCATCATCATCATCAGCAGCAGAAGCATGAGCATCAGCATCATCATCAGCACCATCGCAGCATCGTCATCAGCAACATAATCATCATCATCATGATCATCAGCATCAGCAGCACAAGCATCGTCATCGTCATCAACATCCTTGCCGTCGGCATCAACATCGACATCATCAGCATTATCATCATCAGCAGCAGCAGCATCATCAGCACCACCATCATCAGCAGCATCGCCATACTCATCGTAGTTTCCTGCGCCACGCTCACTTTCTCCTCCTGCTGATGCTGATGCTGCTGCTGCCGCTCCTCATGTGCACACACACACACACTTCTCATCCTCCCCTACCCCCCCGCACCTGCGGTCGCTTGGCCAGCTGCGGCGGGCTCTGCGGATGCGCCTGTCGAAGAGGGAGGAGGGTGGGGGTGCGGCGAGGAAGGAGGAGGAGGGAGAGGGAGGAGCGTGACAACGCCACAGGCTTTGTCTTAAGGTTTGCCCAACGTCAGAAAAGGGAGGAGCGTGTGAGGGGGAGGGAGGACGCAGGACGCAGGAAGGAAGGAAGACTAGCTGGAGGCCACGGAAGTTCCTGGCGTAAAGACCTAGTGCGTGACCGTGCCGTCGCCAACGCTGCCAGGGCAGGATGCGGGAGGATGGAGGAGGACGATTAAGGAGGACAACCAGGAACTGGAGGGGAACTAGGAGCGAAGGAGAAATGGAGGAAGCGGAAGTTTGGTTTGGGTGGTTTGGGGTGGTTTGGGCTCGCCCGTTAGGGCTCGCCCGTTAGGGCTCGCGTCGGCGAAACCAGCGCCGGCGAAACCAGCGCTGGCGAAACCAGCCGCTGGCGAAACAGCGGGGCGAAGCCAGCGGGGCGAAACCAGCCGTCAGCGAAACCAGCGGGGCGAAACAAGCGCCGGCGAAACCACCGCCGGCGAAACGCAGCCGCGCTCCGACTGAGAGGCTGCCCGCAGGCATCCGTCGCGCGACTGCTTTCCGTCTCGCAAGGCTCAGCCGAGGCCAACTGCAGCCCGGGCTCGGCACTGTCTCGAAACACCCTTGTCAACATGATGCAAACTCACAATGAACTGCGGGAGAAACCCATCGGTGACCTACACCATCGTCGGGCGAAAGTGTCCGTGAACACCTCCAGGTTGCACTCCGTAGCCCCACTCCCTGAGCTCGAGATCGCTAGTTCTGACTACCTACCAGGCCAACCCAACCCAACCCGAAGACCCGAATGTCGGGTTGGGGACGGGCTTCAGATGCGTTTTTCCATGTTCCCCGAGCCCCCCACCCACTGGAAATGGAGGGCAAACCGGGGCCTTCGAGTTGGGTTGGGGTGGTTTGGTGGGCGGTGCAGTTCTTTGCCAAACCAAGAGAAAGCTCGTCGCCGCGGCCGTCCGCATCTGGACTGGGCGGGGCGCGTCCCCGACGGCGCGGACTACCACAGAGCAGCGAAGAGTAGCCTGATACTGAAGCGACGACACCAGAGGGCCATCATTGGGGCAAGGCGTCGATGAGGGCGTCGGCAGGGCGCACCGAGGGCGTCGGCAGGAAGCAAGAAAGGCGCGGGAGATGCTTCAGCAGGCGTCGGCAGGGCGCCGGAAGCTGCTACGGGGGCGACGGGAAGGCGTCGGTCGGTCAGTCGGCGAAGGTGCCGGAGGGACCAGGGGAGAGTCAAAGCAGGAGCAGCCTGCATCGAATCGGGAAATGGGGTCGGATCGGAAGGTTCATCGAATCGGGCCGCTTCGGAACGAAGTTGAAATCGAATATGATTGGCCGCGCAAGGCTGCACAACGACGCCGGGTGAGCATCGGGCCGCATGGAATGGCCAGAGCTTCGGAATCGGATCGGACCGGGCTGGCAAAGTCGATGTCGAGTCGGATCGACGGGATAGAAGTGGCCCCTGCAGAGTGGGGGGACGGGGAAGGGGGAGTGAGAGGGGGAAGCGCGGGGGGGGGAGGGAGGGAGAGGGCGAGGAGCGGGGCCAAGGCAAGAGGGGGCAAGAGGGGCCAGGGCAAGAGGGGCCGGGGCTGGCAGGGGGACTTCCGAGGTCGGTGGATCGACCCAGGATCGGTCGATGGATCCAAGGCGGCCACCAGCCCCCGGCCTAACACGAAGCCTGGCAGGGATGAATCGGGGATCTCTGAGATCTGGCGGTCCTGGGGGGTGTATCGGGCGCCGCGGCTTTCTCAGAGCGTTCCGAAACGCTCTGAGGGCGTGGCCGAAAGCTCTGGAACGAATTCTTCCCGCCCCAGAGGGGAACAAGCAATGATGCGGCCATGCGGACATGCGGATGTGCGGCCTGCGTCAAGACGCCGCGGGGGCGCTGCAGGGGGGCGCCAGGACGCCGCGGAAGGAAGACAGGGTGAAACAAGGGAGGGGAAGCGAGAAGCCAGGGGCAGGGCAGCGGAAGATAAACATGAACATAAGCATACACTGTCGGAGGTCCACGCGGACTCCTCGGATCGGCGCTGGACTCCCCTCCCTGGCGCGCGGAGGGCGCCAAGGGCGACGCCGAAGCAGCCGCCAGGGGGCTCCAGCGCCGGTCCGAGAAACCCGCGCGGACCTCCGAAGGGTTCTATGTGTGTCGTTGCTCGTCTTCGACTGCCCCGCTGGGGGGGGGGGGCACCGCCCCGCCGCACGGGCCCCCCGGAGCACCGCGGGGGGGGGGGGGCGGCTGGGCGCCTCCGTGCCGTGGTGGACACAGCTCCTCGCGCGCCAAGGTCTCCGGCGGTGGGCCTGGCGCGCGCGCTCGCGGGCGGGCGAGGTGCCGCCGCCGCTGCTCCTGATGATCCCCTACCCGGAGAGCCTGGCGCAGCGCCCAACTTCGGGGCCTGGGGCCGTCGCAGATCGACCCGGCTCGAGAAGTGACGCATAGGGGGTTCTGGCCGGGACCTTTCGCGATGCTGCAGTTGTGTTCGCCACGTCGAATCTCGGGCTGGCTTCGCGCATCGCGCCCGGCGCTGCACGACGCGCGGTTGCCGTCGTGACCCTGCGCTCTCGCGCCGCCACCCCTGGAGACGGACCGCTCCACAGCCCAGATTGCAGCGCACGATGCGCGAGTGTGCGCCGGAAACGAGCGGGCGCCCTCAGAGGGTCATGCCGACGACGCTGCTAGCGACGCGCGCCAGAGCCGACCAGGCCCGCTCGGAAGGACCTTCGCTGTTCCACGTCTCGAGGCACCCAGGGCGACAGCGAGGCGCACGCGAGACCGCGGAAGCTGGTGCAACAAATTAACGAGGAGGAGGAGGAGGAGGAGGAGGAGGAGGAGGAGGAGGAGGAGGAGGAGGAGGAGGCGGCGCGGCGGCTATCACGCGGACCCGCGGCCTACGCGGGCAAGCGCGCGCGCCTGCAGCGCGGTCAGCCGATGGGCGGCCAGCGGGGCCGACGGCGGCGGCATGGTGTGGAGCCATCGCCTCGCAGCTGGCCCGCGCAGCGCCAGCGTCCACGGCGGCGCGTCCAGCGGCCGCCGCACGGGCCGCAGAAGCGCGGTCCTCGGCGGGGGCCCCGAGCGCTGGGCGGGGGCCGACGTCTGGCGGGCCAGCGCCGCGCTGTGCAGCAAGCGCGAGCTCCGCCAAGGCCAGCTGCGGCGGCGGCGCCCGCGGCGCTGGGGCGGCCGCGCGAGGCACTGCCCGCGGGGATCGCGCGGCAGCGGGGTCGCGTGTCTGTCGGACCTCCGGGCCACGCCGATCACGGACGGAGCGCCGTGAGCTGGCATCCAGGTTAGCCGGCCAGCAGCGACAAGGGTCGACCTGTCACCATCGACGGAGGTGGCCACGCAAGACCACAGCTGCGCAACCATCCTCGTGGGCTCGGTGGCACGCGCCGTCCCTGCTTCTGCAACAGTCAGGAGCGCCCGGCAGTCAGTACGAATGATACGGTCAACCCGCGGAGTAAGGATGCACGACAAGGATGCAAGGGCTTTGGAAAGCCCGCCCCAAGGGTACTCCAAGGGGCTGACCAGCGAAAGTTGCCAGGGATGGACCGAAGGGGCAAGGATGCAAGGGTAACCTAGGACAAGTTGCTCATCCTTACTCCGCGGGTTGACTGTAGGCGGCACCGCGGTGATGAAAAGCACGAGCATCACAGCCCAGAGCTCTGCAGCAGCCGCCGTACGAATCCAGGGCGGAGGCGCGGCGCAGCTGTAGGCCACGAGATCCCGGGCGTCAGACACGACAACAAACGCGCAGCGGGTGCGTCGGAACTCCCGCACCAGACCGAGCTTCATTGAGCCGACCGTGTACTTACACGGGTCGGTGAGAGTGACGTCAGCTTCGTGGCAGCCGCTCTGGCCATGTGCGGCAAGCGGGTGCGGCCGGAGAGAGCCTCCTGGCAGCGGCGCTGGCAGCGCGATGTGCACCGAGAGCGAGCGGGCGACTCCTGGCTGGCGACGCGAAGTGCGCAAGGGGAAAACGGATTGCGCTCGGAGCCCTTGGCAACGTGTGCCGTGAGCAAGCGGGCGCGCTCGGAGCAAGGCTCAGGGTCTTCAAACGATTGTCTTCCAAAGAGGCAGGTCCCCCTGTGGAAATGAACCGATGCAGGGGCCTATGGAGAGGGAGCTTGGGGGGAGGGTCTATTCCAACATCGTTGGTGATTCCTGGGTTTACACTGGTCCTCTTCCTCCTCCTTATCCTCCTCCTCCTCTCCCATCTCCCTCCTGAGGGGCAACGTTCGGGGAGGACGAGCTCAGGGGAGAAAGCATCGACCCAGAAACGACGATACGTCGCCGATAGATCGACGATTGGCCCCCGAGAGCGCATCCGCATGGTCCTGGGCGGAACGGGACATCGGGCCCACTATCGGCGGTGAATGGGCGATTGGGGGTCGATGCGTCCCCCCCTGAGCCCATCCCTACCCCCTTAACGTTGCCCCCCTGGCTGTCGGGTCAGAACTCCGCTCTCCAACGGCCGTTTGGGACGATCTCGGCACCCCCGGAACGCTCACGGCGAGGCGCCACCGCCAGAAGGCATAGGCTGGAAAACCGCCGAGAGCCAACGACAACGCCGGAAAACCTCGAACCTCGAAGCCTTTCATCCCCCCCTGGCGTTGCTCCTGACCTCCCTCCCTCTCTCCCTCCCTCCCTCCCTCCCTCCCCCCCCCGCGGGGAGGGATGCTGGCAGGAGCGGGGCCCTGCTTGGTGTCCAGAAGCTGCCGCTGCAGGGCGCGGAGGTTGCCAACCTGGCGGCCCCCGCCGCCCGCCCTGGGCGCGAGAGGGGCGGGCCAGGCAGCCCCAGGGCCCGCTCCTCCCCCCTCTGGTAGGCTGGTGGTTCCCACGTCTCTTTTGTTTTGTTTTTTCTCTCTCTCTCTCTCTCTCCCTCTCTCTCTCTCTCTCTCCCGCTACCTCTCCACTCTCTCGCTCTCTCTCTCCCTCTCTCTCACTCTATCTCTATCTCTCGCTCTTGTTGTCTCTCTCCCTCTCTCTCTCCGTCTCTCTCTCTCTCTCTCGTTCTCTCGCTCTCTCTCGCTGTGTTACCTCTCTCTCTCTCTCGTTCCCTGCCTCTATGTGTTGTCTCTCTCTCTCTCTCTCTCTCGCTCGCTCTCTCCCTCTCTCTCTCTCTGTGTATCTCTCTCTATCCGTATATAGTGTTTGTCTGTATCCATATGTATATCCCTTTCGTGATTGCTCTCTCTCTCTGTCTCTTGTTCTCTCTCTCTCTCTCTGTCGTTCGTCGCCTTTTCTAGTTAGTAGCTTCTCTAATACTACTACGACAGGGGATAGCACTATGTTAGCAAGCGTGGACTCCACAAAGATCATGCGAGATAAATCAATTTGAGTGTACAGGACTGGACTAAGACTAGACTGGACTGTACTGGGCCTTACTCCACTCTACTCTACTCCACTCGGTTGTACCCGACTCTACTCTGCCATATACCAGAATCTGCTCCACTGCTCTCTGCTCTACTCTACTCTACTCTGCCCTACCCTATATGTTTCTCTTCTACTCTGCTCTCCTCTGCTCTACCCTACTCTACTCCTACCCCGCTCTGCTCTACTCCTACTTTACTCTATTATACTCTATGTTTCCCTGTTCTACTCTACTGCGCTTGACTCTACTCACCTAACTACTCTACCCGACCCTGGTCCACTCTACTCTACCATACCCGACTCTGCTTTACCATGCCTAGCTGTTTGGGCTCAAGTCGGGATCGCTGGGCGCCGTAGCCCCGCGGCCGCCCGATGCCTGCGGCGGTCGACGCGCGCCGCGGGGCCCTCGAGGCCGCTCGCACGCCCTCCTGGCGGCGTACGCTGCCAGCCGGCTCGCAGTGGAGATACCCCGCGACGGGACCAGCCCCCTTGCAAGCGGCGGAGGGCCTGCTGCGAGCCGCGATCGCCGACCTCGCAAGCAACCACCGCCGCCGCAAGGCACCCCGCGCCTCGGCGGAAGCGTCGCCGCGGTCGTCGCCATGCTGGAGCCGCCGATGTCGCGACCGCCGAGGAGAGGGGGGAGGGCGACGGCGCGGACGAGGGCCCAGAGGACGACACCTCGGCCGATGGCGCGCCGTTGGCGCCCGTTCCAGCACCGGCAGCAGCTGGCGGCGAAGCAGCTCGTCCGCATTCTGGCCGTCCTCCTGGTCATCGGCCCGAACTCGGTCCAGAGGAGCGCACGGCTGCCGTGCGCGCGGCCCAAGGGCGCCTGGGGGGCGGGGCCCCGCCGCAGGCCCTCCTGAGGGCGATCGACGCGTTCGCCCTGGCGGCGGGCCACGCCGAGAGCGTCTCTCGCCCTCGGTGGCGGCGGTGGTGGCGGAGGCCGGAGACGCGCTCGGCGGCGCGGCGGGTCGGCATCGGTAAACCCGACGGGAAGCCCGCCGTCGAGGTTCGGTGTTTCGAGAAGGGGGACCCCTGCAGGCGAGGTCATCGTCTTGATGGTCGTCGTGCGCGCCAGCAGCCTCTGCCGTCGGGCCCAAAAGCAAGGTGAAAGGCCGCTCCCCACTTGAGGCTCGGCGCGCCTGTGCGCACACCTCGCCTCGTCCCTGCCAGCCCAAAGGGGGTGCAGGGGCGGGGCTTGAATTTGAAAGGCCTGCTGGCATCTTGGCCGCAGGCGTGAGCTGGCCCTTTTTCAGGGGGGGCTGCACTAGATCGACTCTACCTGCTACCCTACTCGGCTCTACTCTGGTCTACCCTGCACTACTCTAGTCGACCAATCCCTACCCTACCCTACCCTAGCCTTCTCTACTCTAATATATTATACTCGACCCGACTCCTACTCTTCTCTACTCCAGTCCTACTTTACGATACTCGATTACAAGTTGCTCTAACCTACTCTCTCCTCTCCTCTCCTCTCCTCTCCTCTACTCCACTGTCTTCTACGCTGCTCTACTCTACTGACCTTTGCGCCACCCTATTCGGCTCAAGTCTATCATGATCGACTCGAATAATACAGCATCAAACTGTATATGATTATCTGCTGTACTCTACTCTACTTACGGGTTTGACGAGTGATGGAAGGTTCTGGGCACGCCATTGCAAGAGCCACATGAAGCCATCACAATAGCAGAGGAAGCCGTTGCAAAAACAGGAATTTGCACTAATTGGTACAGAACGCCGTTGCAATAGGCAGTACCAGAGGAAGCCATTGCGGTAGTACGGGGCACATGAGGGGAATTAGTGGGCCAATTCTCTATAAAGATGGAGCTGAGACTCCTGCAAGCCAAGATACTTGGAGCACATTGCTACTCCCCAGACAAGAATTTCGAGGCGCCCAGCCGAGGCAACGGGGGAAAGGTGCCAACATTGGTACGCGTTCCTCTGCTGACCCCCTCAGCTTCTCCCTCCCTCCCCCGTTCTCTCGCTCTCTGTCGCTCCATTGTCTAGCAAGCCCTGCCGGGCCTTCCTGCTTGCGACTCGTTAAAGGAAGATCAGCGAAGCTATACGAACTCACATTCCTCCCAATGCACTGCTTGCTCTTCCTGCTCCCGGCCCGCGCTGGCGATGGCAAGCGCACGGATCGCCTCCCCTCTGGCCTGGCCCGACGCGCAGGCTGGGCCTGCAGGCAGCAGTGGCGCACAAGGGAAAAAACAGCGCACACGAGGATCTCTCGCACTCCCTCTCCCTCTCCCTCTATTGGGGAGGAGCGGCTCGTGGGGGGGGGGGAGGGGGGGAATCGCCAATCCGATAGGCGACAGGGCACCGATAGCGAAACCGCACGCTCCTAGGCGGGGTGGGGCTGTCAGGCCCCTATCGCTGTTCAATGGGCGAGGGGGGGGCGATGCATCCTCCCCTGTGCCTGTCTATCCTTAACAGCCCTCGATCGCGACGTAGAATAAGTGGACGCTCGCTCTCTCTCTCTTTCTATCTCTCTCTCTCTCTCTCTCTCTTTCTCTCTCTCTTTCTCTTTCTCTCTATTGTGCCTATTTGCGCCAGCGTGTGCTTGTCCACCGAAGGCCTTCAACATGACTCAGGCGGTGCGCGATGCGACAGAAGGCGGCACAGGCTGCATGCTACCGATGAGCTGAACAGAGCAAACATTAGGCTAGTACACGTCCTGATGATCCTCGGTTCTCTCTCTCTCTCTCTCCTCGTATCGCTGACCGTCCTTCCCTCACGCCTGTGTCGTTCCCACCCCCACTCTCGTGAGGTCGTGAGCAGCAACACGCAGGCAGCACAATGCGGGGCGCATCCGCCGCGGCCTCCCTACTTCAGCTCCTGCCGAGCGGCCCAGTGCCACGAAAGCTCTGGTCTTAGAGGACAGGACCACTGCAAGGAACCAAAGGAACACAGAACGGAGGCCCCACGTGTCCCTGCAGGGGAGAGCTGCCCCGCCCTCCGACCAGCTCCGCGGCCCGCAGCGGCACGGAGTCCGCCCGCTGCGAGCGCCCCGTGACTCTGATCAGCACCGCCGAGACGTCGGCCTGGGACGGGCACGGTCCGGCCGCCGTTTCCTCTCCTCCTCCCCCTCCTCCTCCTCCTCCTCCTCCTCGTCCTCCTCCTCTTCCATCTGCCCCCCCCCCTCCTCCTCCTCCTCTCCCTCTCCCTCTCGCCTCCTTTCCTCCTCCTTCCATCCTACCTATCCTCCCTTGCCCTTGCGCTTCCTGCTCCTCCTCCTGTTTCGCCTGACTCCCTCACCTCTCCTTCTTCCTGCTTTCCTCCTCTGCTTCCTCCTCCTCCTCCTCTTCCCGCCCGCGCCGCCTGCCGCGTCCTCCGCCTCCGCCTCCTCCTCCTACCCTCTCCTTCCTCCTCTCCATCCTCCTCCTTCTCTTCCATCTGCCCCCCCCCCTATCCTCCTCTTCTGATCTGCCCCCCCGCCTCCTCTTGTTTTTCCCTCCTCCTCCTCCTCCTTCTTCTTCCCGCGCCCGTCTCTGTCCGACCCCTCTGATCGCCCCCGCCTCTCCCTCCCCGCGACCTCTCCACCCCACCGTGCAGGCCGCGCTCCCCCTCGCGGGGCAGGTCGTGGCCGCACGCCCGGGCCTCCCGAGGCCACCCACCCAGTGCACAGAGCGCCCACGGGGCAACGACAAGTCGACTAGGGACTCGACTACAGAATTGACTTGCCCCAGATTCTTCCTCCGTCAGATCTACGTAGAATGCTCCGTAGATCTCGGAGCATCCTACGCACTTCTCGTAGATTCGATGGAAAATCAACTCGGGGGCAAATCAATTCTGTAGCCCACCCCCTGCTCGAATTTGAACAAGGGGTGGGCCTGGTTCTGGGGGGGAAGCCTCGACCTGGAACAGGCAGTGGGGTGGGCCTCGACCAAGGACATGCGATGCATCGCTGATAGATCCGCAGTCTTACTGCGCGTGCCCTTCAGCGAGGCATACAGAGACATGCTATAGTACTATATGTCCTCCTTGGAGGCTTGCGTCCGACCCGACCATTTAGTACAACCATCTTGTAGCATATCGTTTCCCGAGCGGTGTGGCCAGAAGGCACCCGTCACGACGCATCCACTGTAATAGAGGGCAGAAAATCCACCCTCTGAATAATCACCCCGACACGCGAAGCCGTTTAGCAAACGCACCCACAGGAATCGAACAGGGCAAGGCTGTTTAGTAAACGCCCAAGGCCGTTTATTAAACGCCAATTGTCGGGTCCGGGTGGTTTTTCCTCCCCTGATAAAAGATTTCTTGGTGCGTGCGTCACCTTTGGGGGGGGGGGGGGGGGCGACGCCGACTCAGAGTCAAAACGCATGATCAGGATGCGCGGTAAGGGTGCAAAGGGCCTTTGGAGGCCATCTTGACGTCTTTCGAGCGAGGACTTGGCTAGCGAGCATCGCCAAGGACGGGCCGAAGGGGCAAGTATGCAAAGGTAACCTTGGAAAGCTGCTTATCCAAACTATGCGCTTTGACTGTATGCAGTGGCAAAGGGCACAAAAAACTCGGTAAGCATACTGTCGGAGGTCCGCGCGGATTTCTTGGGTCGGCGCAGCCCCTGGCACGCTCCGCGCGCCAGGGAGGGAGGCCCAGCGCAGATCTAAGAAGTCCGCGCGGACCACCGAAGGTATATGTTTATGCAGCCGGTTGGTTCCTCCAGCCCTGGGATGCTGCTTCAGAGGCGGTCCCTCTTCGCCCAGGCTGGTTTCACTTGTTGCCGCACGCTGCTGCTGGCGGCGACGGACAGCCAACGCCGACTGGCCCCAGGTCACTGGACACGGGGCCAGCCGCAGGAGAAGAAGCGGGTGGATACTAATGGGCGGAACTCTCGCTGTGAGACGCTGGTCGCACGCGCCCTTGCATGGTCGGACTTACCCGACGGGGGCCACCTGACCGATTGCAATCGTCCAGTGTGTGTGCAACCCTGCTTCTTCGGTCAGGGGCTGGGCGGGCCCGTGCTCTCTCGATGGGTCGCCCCCACTCGGCTCCGTGGTCATTGTGTTTCGTCTCTGTGCTGTGTTCCACCGAGCCAGCCGATGGACGGAGCACGCGAAATCGCAATGCTAGCGTCCGACGACAAGACCCCTTCCTCCCCATATGTCCGTTCTCGCCGTTTCCTCATCCTTCCCTACCGTCAACCTCTCCCTACCCCAACTGATCGATAAAAATAAGCAACACCATCAATAACCACCACCACCATGATCAGCATAATCATCGTCACCATCATCATGTGAACATCAACATAACCATCCGCATCATCGTCAGCAGCAGCATCACCATCATCACCTTCATGAGCATCATCCTCATCATCATCTGCAGCAACATCATCATCACCACCATCATCATCATCATCATCATCATCATCATCATCATCATCATAATCATCATCATCATCATCATCATCATCATCACCGTCATCACCTTCATGATCATCATCATCATCATCATCATCATCATCATCATCAGCATCATCATCATCATCATCATCATCATCATCATCATCATCATCGTCATCATCATCATCATCATCATCATCATCATCATCATCATCATCATCATCATCATCAGCATCATCATCATCATCATCATCATCATCATCATCATCATCATCAGCATCATCATCATCATCATCATCATCATCATCATCATCATCATCATCATCATCATCATCATCATCATCATCATCATCATCATCATCATCATCATCATCATCATCATCATCATCATCATCATCATCATCATTATCATGGTCATCATCATCAGCAGAAGCAGCAGCCGCATCATCACGATCGGCATCACCATCACCATCTTCATCACCAAATGCATCATCATCCTCACAATAACCATCACAATCGCCACCACCATCACCATTATCATCCTCGTCATCATCAGCAGCATCGCCCCCATCATCAGCATCATCATCAGCATCATTATCATCATCATCACCAGCAGCAGCATCATCATCACCATCATCAGCATCAGCATCAGCATCAGCATCAACATCATCATCACCACCAGCACCATCAGAATCATCACCAGCGTCATCATCACCACCACCATCATCGGCATTACCAGCACCACCATGATCATCATCAGCAGCAGCAGCACCACCACCACCCCCATCATCATCACCACCATCATCACCTTCATCATCATCATCATCATCATCATCATCATCAGTATCATCATCATAATCATCCTCATCAGCATCACAACCAGCACCATCATAATCATCATCAACATCAGTAGCATCACCAACACCACCATCATCGGCATGTTCACCGTCATCAGCATCATCAGCAGCAGCAGCAAAAGCATCATAATCATCAGCGGCAGCATCATCATCATCATTCTCATCATCATTACCAACACCACCACCATCATCATCAGCATCATCATCTAACCCACGCACGCACCCACCAACCCACACATCAACTCACCAACCAACATACCCACCCGTACACCCCTACAACTCCTGCCCATCCTCAAAATGTGCCACCCCAACAGCCGGCTACCACGAGTCCCAGGTGGCAGTCTCAGGCACCCACGAGATTTCGGGGGGACCTCTGAGAAGGCGGGGGTAGACAGAGTAGGAAAAGGGGAAAAACAACGACGACGAAGAGCAGAAGGAGAAGCAGGCGGGGGGAGGGGCGACAGGGGGACTTAAGGAGCGAGGGGAAGGAGGAGCAGGAGGAGGAGGATAAGGAGGAGGAGGAGGAGGAGGAGGAGGGAAGAAGAGGAGGAGGAGGATAAGGAGGAGGAGGAGGAGGAGGGAAGAAGAGGAGGAGGAGCAGGAGGCGCGAGCAACGAAGAGCGGAAAGATAAGCATGCTGGGAATGGGGGGGAAGAGGAGCGGAAGGGGCGGCAATGAGGAGGGCAGAGGCCACGCGCCACTCAAAATCGCGATGGGCCAGACTGCATCTGATCCGAGCGTGGAGCGGCCTCCCGCTGCGCATCATCCTCCTGCCCATCATGCCCATCGTCCGCCCTCCTCCTCACCGTCATGATGCTATGGCAGCGGCCAACACATTCTTGAGCATCGCCTCGCTGACTTCCTCGGGTGGTTTCCCGTCTCCTGGAAGCATCACCTGCCCTCACACTCGCTGGATCCTCCTCATCGGCCGCCTCCTCCTGTCAGGCCCTCCTACTTCTTCTGGATCCTTCTCCTCGACCTTAAGACGAGGATGGATGGCGCACAATTACCAAAAAAAAATGCGCCGCTGTATTAGCGTTGGTAGCCGGCGTGGACCCATGCGTGGACCCCAATCAGCGATTCCTTGCAACATATGCGGAGCCATATTTGTTGTGCAGTGAATGCGGTGTGAACTACGATGCAGAGCAACAGATGTGGTACAACACAGCATGTGTGGTGTAAGCTATGTGGTGCAATACATGCTGTGCAAACTATGTGAACCAATATATGCGCTGCCACTTATGTGATGTCAGAAATGTTGTGCAATCCGTGTGGTACAATCTCTGTGGTGCAATCTGCGGGGTGCAATATATGTAGAGTGAAGGATGCGGAGTAACTTATGTGGTGAAACAACTATGATGTAAGTTATGTCGTGCACTCGATGTGGTGCCATCTAGGCGGTGCAAGCTATGTGGTGCAATATATACGGTGCAACAAATGTGGTGGAAGGTACGTGGTGCAACTGACTACCCTGCACCGCGCTTGAACACCTCCACTGCTCGCGAAAACATCCCACCCACCCACCCGCAACTTGGTTTCAAAAATCTCTTAAGACCGTGACGGTGGGTACACGCTGGCACTTGGCAGCGACATCGACGCCGACGACGACAGCGACAACGACGACGACGCCGCCGCCGACGACGACTACGAAGACACCGACGACGTCTCCAACGACTTCGACGATGCCGGCAACGACGACGACGACGACGACGACGACGACGACGACACCGACGACGACGACGACGCCGACGCCGACGACGACGACGACGATGACAACGACGACGACGATGACGACGCCGATGACGACTGCGACACCGACGACGACGACGATGACGACGTCAACGACGCCGACGCCGACGACGACGACGACGACGACGACGACGACGACGACGACGACGACGGCGGCGACGACGAGACGCCGACGTCGACGGCGACGAAGACGACGACGACGCCGACGCCGACGACGACGACGAAGACGACGACGACGTCGCCAACGAAGACGACGACGAGGGAGGAGGGAGGACGACGACGGCGACAACGACGACAACGACGACAACGACGAGGGAGGAGGGAGGACGGCGACGACGCGAACGACGAAGAAGGAGGAAAGGACGGCGACGCCGACGACGACCGACGAGGGAGGAGGGAAGACGACGACGACGACAACGACGACGACGACGACGACGGCGACGAAACAGAGGGACGACGACGAGACGCCGACGACGGACGACGACGACGACGAGGGAGGAGGAGGAAGGACGACCACGGCGACAACGACGATGGAAACGACCACGACGCCAAAGAGGACGACGACGACGAAGACGAGGAAAGACAGAGGACGACGTAGGCGACGACGACGACGACGACGCGGGAGGAGGGAGGACGGCGACGACGACGACGACGCAAGAGCGCGCGCGCACGCTTTTGTTGAAAATCCGTGTTGCGAAACCTTGTGTTTTTGTAGGCTGTTTGGACACACGATTTTGAAATCCTTCCGAAACCGAAGGTTTTTGAAGGACTTCGGCATGCGCGCGAGACGACGCGCGCGTCTGCACTTCGTCCCAATGTTTGCAGAGGATTCTCGCGACGGCACACGCGCAAGGGCGTTCGGCAGATTTCGACATGCGCGCGCGAAGCCCGTTTGGTAGCATTTTGTGTAAATCTGGAAAAACCTATGGTTTTCATAAGATTTCGCAAGAGCTCGCGCGTAAGCTTTTTTAGCAAATCAGTGTTGCGAAACCCTGTGTTTCTGTATGCTGTTTAAAGACTCGATTGCGAAATCCTTCCGACACCGGAGGTTTTCGAAGGATTTCGGCATGCGCGCGCGACGACGCGCGCGTGCACTTCGTCCCATGTTTTGCAAGGGATTCGCGAACAAGTCTTATCATGTTGGAACCAAAAATGTTCCCGCGTATCTTTTTTTTACCAGGAAGCCTCAGGGGGGCCGATCCCGGCCCCTCTGGGATAGTGTAAATTCATAGTTAGGATGGACATGTGGTCAGAATCATATATGATTCACATACCCGAAAGGGGGGCGGATAACGCTGGGGGGGGGTAAAGTCGATTATTCTCTTTTATGAAGTCCAGTGGCAGCGGCGACGAGGCGGCGGGCGGCGACGAGGCGGCGACGGCGACGGGCGGCGACGGGGCGGCGACGGCGACAGCATGGCATAGCAGCCAGACCGCCCCGCAGGCCCAGACGACGGGCGGCGACGAGTCGGCGACGAAGAGGCGACGGGGTGACAACGGCGACAACATGGCCACCAGACCGATCCGCAGGCCCAGTTCCCGTAGACGTTTGCCAGCGTAGACCTCAAGCAGTGAATCATTGCACTGCGGATGTGTGTGGCCGTAGGTGCCATCTATGTGGTGCAAGCTTTGTGGGCCAATCCACGTGGTGCACGCTGTGCGTGAGCTATGCAGTGCAAGGCACTTGGTGCAAAAGATGTAGTGCAAGCTATGCGGAGTAAGCTATGTGGTACAAGCTCTGTGGTGCAAGTTATGGGGTGCAAGCTTGATGGTGTGAGCTATTCTGCGCGAGAAATGTGAATGTAACGTAGATATTGATATGCAAAATGTAGAAATATATGTACACGTATGGTTGTCCTATGTTATCGCTGTAGATGTCTACCGATACATGTGTGTACTTACACTGGAACCACGCGCGCTGCGCGCGCGCGCTCGAGTTCTAGCGCAGCCCATGCCACTGTGGTAGAGCATTCCTGGGCCTCCTCGTTGTCCCCCCCCCTTCCCGGTCCGAGTCGTCCTGGTCGGTCGCCGGAGGCTCCATTCATGGGCCTGAAAACCAGCTGGGGTAAAGCGAGGAGGAGGAGGAGGGGATGCATGGGGGAGGGAGGAGGAGGGATTGACCGAGCATGGACGGGGACCGAAGTTTTGATCTAGGTTTCTTCGGGGCTCTTGGAGGGCTTCTGGGACCCTACCGGGCCTCAGGGGGGGTTCCTGGTGCGAATTAGGGGCGTCGTGGGGGCCTATTGAAGGCTGGCTGATCATGGCCTTTGGGGGGACTCTTGAGGCCGCCTTGGTGCGTCTTGGGCCCTCTTGGGGCAGTCCTGGACTGGTCCTAGGAGCCAGCGCTGGGGCAGCAATGACCCCCGAGAGTACCTCAAGCGTGTCGGCATAGCCTTTGACGATGACCTGCCCAGGACCTGGGTAGTTGCCCTCCTTCGAATCATCCTCATCATCCGCCGCAGCCTTAACCTTGTCTAATAATCCTACTCCGTGTCACGAATGTGTCAAGGAAGGGGCGGAGTACGAGCTCTGAAGCGTTCGAGGTGTGGGCATCCAGGGTTGAACTGCAGTGCTTTGTTACGTGAGCCAGCGCCTGGGCAGCGGTGACCCTCCGCACGAGCTCAAGCGTACCAAGTGCGCACTGGGACCAAACTCCGCGATGTCGCTCGGGGACGTCTTAGAAACACTTTTGAAGCCTCTTGGGGTCTCCTGGGGGCCTCTTTGGGCCCCATCGTGGGCCTCCTCGGGGCCTCTTGCGGGCATCTCATAGCCCTCATGGGGCCTCTTTGGGACTTCTGGGCGGCTTTCCAATATTCTCGGGGGGTCATCTTAGGGCGGAAGGCTCGAAATCTCAGTTCGAACTCCCCCTCTTAGGCCCGTCTTGGTCTCCTCCTGGGGTTCTCCTGGGCTGCCCTGGACGCCTCTTCGACCGTCTTGGGACCCTCGCTTGGGCCGTCTTGGGGCCCTCGTGGGGGCCTCTTGGGCTGTCTTGGGGCGATCTTGAGGCCTAGTGGGCCGTCTTGGACGCTGTTAAGAGCCCGAACATGCATGTACGCTTTCATTACGGACTGGCACGATCTGGGCCTCTTTGGGTCCTCTTTGGGGGACTCTTCGAGCTTTCTTAGGGGAGTCTTGGGAGCCTCCTGAGCCGTGTTGAGGCCATCTTGGAGCGCTCGTGGGCCGTCTCGGGGGATCTTGGCCCCTCTTCGGTGCTTCTTGGGACCACGTGGCCGCGTCGAAAGTACTCAGGGCCGTCTTGCAGCACATGGACCCCTGGGGGGGGATACGGGCGTAACGCGGATGTGCGGGAGGTGGGACCGGACCCCGGGCTGAGGGCCGGGTAGTCATCAATAGATACACACATGCATACATGCATGCATGCATGCATGCATGCATGCAGACAGACAGACAGACACAGAAAGACAGACAGACAGACAGACAGAGTCACAGACAGACAGGCAGGCAGACAGACAGACAGTCAGACAACAGACACAGACAGACAGACAGACAGACAGACAGACAGACAGACAGACAGACAGACAGACAGACACAAACAGACGGGCAGACAGACAGCCAGACAGACAGACAGACAGACGTGTATATACATATACATGTACATATACAGATACATATACATATACATATACATATACATATACAAATACATACACATATACCTTGACATATACATATATATATACATATATATACATATGCATATACATATACCTATAAATATACATATACATATACATGTGCATACACATATACATATGCATACATCTACACATACATACACATACACGTATATATATATATACATACACTACATACACATACAGCTACACATACACCTACGCATACGCGTACGCATACATATGCATACACATATACAAATACATATACATATACATTTACACATACGTATCCATATACATATACATATACATATACATATACATATACGTGTACATATACATGTATGCATATATAAATATATATGTACACATATATATACAGACCTATACATATACACATACCCATACATCTACATATACATATACATACACATATACATATACATACCCCACCGTGCCGCGGGTTACGGAATGGGCGTGTCCTCAGGATCTGTGCCGAAGCCCTGAG